ATTTTTTTATTTGAAACATTTACAATATTTTAGATTAGAGTAGTTAAAAGAAAAGCTCAGGTTAGGTTAAATTAGTTTATTTTTTTTGGATCTGGTTTCGACAAAGTTATATAGGTTAAAGTGCAGTTCAATGAGAAAAAGCTTGAAAGTGTAACAAACAATTTAATTTAGTTAGTTGCAAATAGAATTAAATTATTTAATGCTAAGTTAGTTAATGATGGATATCCATTTTGTCGTTTTAACCAAAATTCTGAAATATAACTTCCAGTAAATCCCAATTCAAGTGTTGAATCTGATCTCAAGTGAATCAATTCCTCTTGTAATTTCCAAGGAAGATGGCCAACTTGAAAATTAGCACTAAATGGTGTTATTATCCAGTCATGCTCTTTATTTTCATTTAAATTCGGAAAATAACTTTCAAAGAAGCTAATTGTCAGGTGATTTGCAATAATTTCTTTGTTCCGTTGATAATGATATGTTACTTTTGTTAAGAAAATCATGCAAAGATATAAACATGCTTATGTTTCCTTGAACTCATTTTACAACTAAAAACATTTATTTGTTGCATTAGCCACTCTTAGCAGCTCCCCCGCAGGTGGTCCACATCCCCCCCAGGGGGCCGCGACTCATTACTTTAAGAAGATCCGATCTATGACATGAAAAACAATAAACCAGGGAATAGTGCAGATATTTTATTATTATTTGTATTTAAAACATAGAACATGTAAAATCCTGTAAGTGTGATTTAGTTTATTATAGTCGCGTTGAAGATGCACTTGATGAACCTGAAAATACCTAAATTGACTCTTGAAAAAGATTTTATTTGCTTCGGCACGTAAAACAAATTATTTTGCGCATGAGTAGCATTACGAGTTCGCTAACGATCTCTTGAATTTTAATTAAAGCACGATCACATATGGCATAGAAATTAATTTTTCCTAACCACGAAAAGTGTCTATTTAACGGGAAATCGTTGTTCATTAAAATGCCGAATTTGACCAGCAATTTAGTTTTTGATTTCGTTAGTTCATTTACTGTAATGAAGTGATACTCATAATCATAATAGTTGAGCAACTAATAAACTTTATGAAAAACAGCAATTACAGCCAAAACTTTTCTTGAGCTATTTTCAGATCTAGTGAACTGTAGATTTTATGTGTATCGAAAATGGAGCCAACCCTGTATCAAAACCTATATTATGGACTGTCACATCAGATTAGATATGGTTTAAATAATAACCCTAAATCCAGTTCTGATTTTCACTCTATTTCTTCCGCTCCTTTCAAATTGATTTTTAATAAAAATATTCCTCAATAATGATGATGTTGTACTTCGTTTAGTTTCCTAGAGATGTGCCCCTTCCAATGTCTTAGATGCGCGCTGGCAAAATCGTAGGTAGGGATTAAGGAGCTCATTATACTCTCGACTCATGTTCATTAAACCTACTTTTTCTTACAGTACCTGCCAAAAGTTTTGTTCCATCATGAGTAGTAGTACAAACCGAAAACAAGCGTTAAATGCATAATGAGCCTTTAATATGTCTTCAAATATAAATCAACATCTCATTAATATTTTCAGTAGTAAGTGGTACCAATAATAGTACATTCGAGCAGTGCAATTTAAGTCGATAAAATGGGCAATTTTTCCGTGCAGTACTGTACGGATTATACGCTCTTCATCGGTTAAGAGTTTGGCCGAGAGTTGTCTCCTTTCTTTTCTGACCTAGTGTCATCCTTTTCTATTCTGCGCAGGTCATACTAAAGGTCACATCGCTAAAGAAAGTAAACGAAGTGTAAATGATAGTTTATAATCGCCCTAGTGAAGTTCTCTACAATACATTAAGGAAAAATTCTTTAAAAGCTCGAATTTTCTAACAATATGCAGATAGATAAATGCCATCTGGAAACTTACCGTGTCTGAGAATATTTTAGAAAAATATTTTTTAAGAGAATACTTTCATATTATACTTTCAAACAAAAAAGTGTGTAATATGCCACAGATAATCT